CTGGTGAGTTGGACCACCCTATATATATATTTTATGAGACGCAAGTTTCCAAGCCGCACTCACGTCACACATTTCCCCATGCTCAGAAACTAGAATATTTATTAGATAAAGCACATGAGACCGAAAGCACAATTCAGTCGACTGCACCACCGTCTTATATTCATATCAACTGAAATATACCTACCTTCAGTTGACCGCCTCCTCAAGCATGAAAGTTACAACTGCGTTGTTTTATTCTTGTTGATATTTTGCACAGAACGTGACATATGGAATTAAAGAAATGTTTTTTTTTTTCAAATGAGAAAATGCATATGGTCAATCCACATTCGATATATTGACCAAATCATCCCAACTTAAGACAGACTAAAATGTTGTGAGAGCACTCACAATATTTTCCGCTGGAGCACCTTTTTGCACATCCTTTCTACGCAATTAAAATGTGTTCTCACTACGACAAAATCCTATTTTGTTACTAAAAATAAAGTATTACCAGATATAACGGTGCTGAAAAGGTATAGCCATGCTTCTTACTGGAACGCCCTTTTAACGCCCTTCAGTGTATGATAGCTTTTAGTGTGGAGTGCTATTTTTATAGTCAAATTCGATTAGCTCATGAAAGTATATTTCTGAGTTCATCATGTCTTTACTCTTATTTCACTAAAACTTTTTTTATAGGGCACTGAAACACGGGTAGATTAAAATCTACCATTTAACTGTGGGTCTCCAACCTACACGTATCAATAAAGTGCCATAGCATTCCAACTTTCTGTGGGAGATACCCTTGTCAGCTCTGCATGTCTAGATGATTCACTGCAAAAAAGTAGAATGCCGTTCTTCTTAAAAAAGCAAAAAAAAAAAACACCCCAAAACCCATAAACAAAAAAGAAATTGTGTTCTTCCTCGCTCTAAAGCTACCGTCGCGTTTTTATCAAGTGCGTTTTTTATCCTCTTACCTATACATAGGAGACAATGTTTAATTTGGAACATTTATTTCTCTTTTTTTTTAATATAAAACCTAGTGCAGAGGCTTAAGGCAAATCCACTTCAGAATTTTTCGGATGCCTGAGCGCGAGCTGGAGCAAAGAAGGCTCGTGCCTGAGCCATGCATTCGAGTAGACTGCGCACATTGCACGCATGCTCTTGAAATTGTACAATAAAAGAAGCCGCTAAAGTGTGAAGTCAAAATATTGATCGTAAGTCCATTCTCTCAAATGTGTTTTATGACCAAACATTGGTTATCTTCATCATCTATTGCTGTCGCATTTATAGAAGTTAGCGGATTAATTGCCTCATGGATCTTTAGTAGCATTAGACTTTTAGATTTATCGCCAAAAATGATCTCACTCCAGGCTCTATATAGGTTAGAGCTCCCATTAATTGATTTCATTGCTTTTTAATAATCTCTGACAGTGCTTTTTCAAGGAACTACCAATATTTAAAAACAATATTCCATTGCAAAACAGTTCTCTGAACCTACCCATCACATATAACATAAAAAATAATTGTGGAGGATCACTTTCTTACATAATCCACAAAAACCATCTAAATTTGCTCCACTGAAAGAAAAAAAATACGAATCTCAGATGAAATAACACAAGTATTTTTTCCCCAATGGTTAAAAACGATCGCTCGGGAAAAATAGTACGGCATATTTTATTAGCAGTTTCATAATCAAACATTTAGCAAACACTTACATTAATTATTATATCAATTAAAAAGACCTAAAAATATAAAAAGTAAATAGTAATAAGGCAAAATTCCTGATCATGACCTACATTTCAGTGTACCATCGTATCGAAATCGACTTGGCGTCCTGTGCTGGAGTGACAATATGAGCTGAGATGCAGCAGTTGGTTTTTGCTTCTGTTGTAAAAGCCTGCTTACATTCTTTTTTTTGTTGTTTTCATTTTATGGCGTATCCCTTGACCTATTCAGGTAGTAATGAACCAAAGGACTCAACATTCCTGACGTGATCTAAATGTACCATGATTGGGCAGATAGTCTCTGTTGGGGTTTAGCCTCAATATGTAGACTTTTTTTTGACAGGAGAGATTATGCAATCCTCAGTTTTACAGCGAAGTTGTTATGGGGGTGCAAGGGTGTGTAAAAAGATGCCTCCATGGATGTTAATAATAAAAAAAAACTCCCGTTGAAACGGCGCTCCTACGTTCCGATTGGTCGCGGCAAGTATAAATAAAAAGAGGGATCAATCCGTGTGAGTCAGCCTTCCTTGGCATTATTAGATAGTGCGGTCCTGCTTCCTCGTTATCTACAGTCACCGACTTAGATGAGAGTGCGCTGTTACTAGGCTAAGGACAAAACGCGCCGATCTAACCTTCTTTTCTTTCACATCCATGATGCAGATAGAGACTTGTGCTCAACCGGAAAAAAATAAATAAAGGCAATCAAACAACGATGTCGTGTACGCGTCTACAGTGCAATCATATATAAATCTATAGATGTCGTACAGTTGCCGTGAAGTTTTCGTAAATTGTCGTACATTTGTCGTAAATATACAGCTTCGCTGGTCCTCCATCTTCACTTGAAGTGGATCGGCTCTACATTTTGTTTGCCTTTCCTTGCGCTGGCGATGGGGATATTCACTGAGCTTCAATCGCTAAATCGTTTGAAGAAACATCGTCTTTTATCACCTTTGGTGGGAGTGTACGTCGCGGTACGAATTTGATTAAATGCGCCGTCGTTTGTTTAAAATAATCAAAAGGAAGGAGGTGTTAACACCCTTAAATCAACGCTTTTTTACACCCAACCTCATACGTGGTTGTCACAGAAAAGAATACAAAAATATTGGTCGGGCCACGAGGCGAGCGGCTCCGGCGCTTTTGAATGACAGTGCGTAGCATTCGGTGTTCGGAAGCAACCAGTTTCTTTTGACAACTATACGTGTCCCTTCTGAAAGCAGGTGGTCAGTAAAGCTCTGATATTTATTACAAATATCAAAAGGGTAAGCATATTATCACAAAGTTCTACAGACACAATAGATAAACTTTTGTTGGCGTGCTGTCTTTTCTCGAATAACTTTTTCTGTCTTTCTCTCCAGTTTTTTCTCCCTTTTATGAAGTAGCTGGTGTCATATGAGGTTAGGAATTTAGTTTCCAAATTCAGCGTTCTCTCACTCATTTCCCCTTTTTCTCTCTTATCCTTTATTGATTTCTCCTCACAAATATATTACAGGGTATTTTTTCTTGTGATAATGTAATTAATCAAAGGTGCAAGCGAGCTGGACAAGATTGACCTTTGGCCCCCTTGTTCCCCTTCTACAGGGATTATTATCGTCATTCTTGTCCAGCTTGTTTGCACTTTTGCATTAATTGCATTGTCATCATAACCTTAAAATCCAGGCCGTTTATCCTTTTTGGTAGCAGACTGGTGGCCACTGATAAAACCTGTTTGCTCTACTGACATCTCACGTCTGTATAGCTCTGTTTGTACAGCGTTCCGCTGGAAACGGAGAAGTCCTTGGGTCGATACCTAGACCAGGCGGATGTTTTCGGTCGCGCACCTGTCGCCTAGCTGTGTTTAGAGATTTGTGTTTGTCCTTCGTCCCCCTTGTTCCTTTTCTCCAGGGATTATTATCGTCATTTCTTATTTCTAATTTATAAATAATGTTGGGTAACGCATATATCGATGCCATGTTCATTAAGTCTGTTTTGAACTTACAGAAAATATGCTGTAATACCCATCCCCTTGATTGTGCCAATGAACTAAAATCGGGATAAGTTTTAAATATTACTTTTATTTAAGTAGTTACAGTTTGAGCTTGAAAGAACAGTCATAACTTGAGGCCGAACTAATTTAAGCAGTTTTCGATACAGTAATTAACTAACCCTGATGTACTGATTGATCTGTTTTGAGAGTTTGTCACCTGAATCCGCAACCTGATGAAGAGGTGCCGCATGTCTTGCGCACTTTGTGATCCGCAGAAGATCGGCAAATTATTATTGGTTAGCTCGTCTTTAACACAGCGATGTGATGTCGGCGTATCAATCAATTTGACGCTACCGAGTTATTATGTGAACCCGAAAAAGAGTACCTTTCTGCATTTTTTTATACCACGCTTAAAATATCGGGCAACAAGAAACGAGTTAACTCATCGATGCATATTTTTTTTTAAAATTCGTCGCCTTTTGCAAACTGTGTAAATGTTTCTATTTTAGTAAGTAAACTTTTCAAACAGTTACCAGCATGTAACCATTAAAAGCTTTGATTAAAAAAATAAAGAATTTATCTCAGTTACTGAGCTAAGCTTGACGTTTATTTCCTTATCTAACGCTAGCCAAGTTATCCAAGTTCAATATGCAGAGACAACAGACGGCATGCATTCCTGTAAAAGTCACCCTTGTAAAAATGTGTTCGAATTAAAATAAATAAATAAGAAAGCTGCATTTGTAACAGCTCTTGCAGGCATGTCAATAATTTGTGGTAGCAATATTCAACCTCTTGAAGGGTTGAAAATTAACTAACCCCTTTTCCGAGTAATCAATTAAGAAAATATTTAGTGATTAGTTACTTCATTTTTCGATAAGTTGATCGATATTTTGCGAGCTCGAGGTTTTTTTAGCGTTTCTTCTGCACAATACTTGTGAAAAAGTTAATATTTAGATTTTATTATAAAAACATAACAAAAAAATGAGGGACACACTTTTTAATGATAATAAAGAACTCACACTTACAACCACTCACTCACTTCAGCGAAACGTTGCCTTTGTTTCTAATAGGCGTGGACCAATAATTCTAATTTTCGCGAAATCTAAAAAAAACTCACCTCACACGATACCTCTAAAAATATTTATTGAAAACATTCTTGACAAAACGCCAAGCAAATCGTCAACCACCTCAACTCTCAAGTTAAGGAGAAAACAAAACAAAAGAAACATACCCGTGTAAAGAAAGTATGAGATATAATCCAGCAATAGTTTTCCACAATGTACAAGTATTGTTTTTGATAGAACACTAATTAACGCTTCCTTTTTCTCTGGCAGGTACAATGTCTTTCTCCTGATACTCACGTACATCTTTCCGGTGGTTACCATGGCAGCAACGTACGCACGTATGAGCCTCGTTCTGTGGGGGACGCGCTGCATCGGCGAGTTCACCGAGCATCAGCAGATCGCCCTGCGGAACAAACAAAAGGCAAGTGGGTGTATGTGGTTAGGGACATATTGTGTGAGTATTAGATAGATAATGTTAAAATACATTACATTTATCATGCTGACGATTTGCGAGCAGTCAAGTTACAAATATTATGTTAGGAACATTTTAACCCGAACTCTGTACCTGTCCGCAAGCACTGACCATTATGTTTAATTTCGCATTCAAATTTGCATTTAGAATGCACTCATAGATTTGTTTCATACCGGGTACTTCCTTGAGCTAACGTCATGCTACCTTACACTGTAAAAACACAGTGCGTCTACTTCCCGGCAAAGCACTTCGAAAAGCCAATCCCGGATTCAACGGGCAGAGCATGGTGACTGAACAGTTGAAAACTATCCTTAGACCGAAAAACCTTCTTCCACTGATGCAGTGAGCATTACGTTTTCTGTGCTCGCGCCATGTTCTGTGTCACCCCGCACTGTTTTTTGCAGGGCTAATTATATTTTCAGGCTCGTAATTCTCCGAGCTTCCCCAGGGGTAAAGGGATCTTACTTTCCAATGGTTGTCTGAGAAAGTAGAAGCATCAAAATTTTAGAGCGTGCGTGTTTATGAAATACTGCTAGTTTTGATTTCACCACCCTACCAAAAAATACAGAACAACTTTTCGCTATCTAAATTACGGAACAGAAGATCCATCTGGTTAACGAGTCAAACTAAAGGCAAGTTTTCCAGTGAGGCTAGTGATAAACTACAATATAATCAGCCAATGGTGTAAAATACGTGTCATATAAGAAAAGCTGGCGGGCTAGTTGGTCGTTCATCATAAATAAAATAGCGCACAACAACAAGGAAGGAAGGACGAGGTAGGCAGGAAGGGCGCTAAACTGACAACTGACATTTAATACAGTCTATGAAGGAGGAGAAAAAAGAAGAAAGAATTTACTAATGTTGTTGCTTAAAAGAAAGAAACGTACACCCTCAAAGTTGTTATACGTAAAATGTAAAATAAAATGTATGGAAAAGGTGAGTTGCTGATGATATCTGCGAGTGAAAAAAAACCTCTTAGAAATAAGAGAGAAAGGAAGAAGGAAGCAATGATTTTGAAACAAAATTAGAAAATTTCCGAGGTACACGATCGGAAACCGTAGATGATAAAAAAGATGAAGTTTGAGACTAAAATGGAACCTGAAGTCGCAGGCTGAATACTTGTCGTCAAGTCATATGATTAAGGTAGTAAAGTTCTTTTGGAGATAAGGCGATCGATAGGCGCTGATGCACACTGCCCCACGAGACGCAATTGTGTGAGCTTCATACAACTCGCGTGTTCTTTTGTACCTAGAACGTCTTAGGATTTTGGTTTGGCTAAACACTGCTGAGCACATACAGTCCCTCGCATGGATTGCAAGATGGCCGGCTGGTGACGATCTCAAGGGTAAGGAATGTTCTCGTAAGCGATCATTGGTGAAGCGGCCTGTTTGTCCCACATATATTTTGCCGCAGGTGAAAGGTATTTCGTACATTACTCCTCGTTGGCAGTCGACGTATTGTTGCTTATGTCTTACTTTGCACTCAGCTTGCTGTGGTTCGAGATGGTTAATTCTCGGACACAACCACCTAAGTTTATCTGGTGCAGAGTGTGCCACTTGGACTTGATATTTAGAAGCTATCTTCGGACACAACCGCCTAAGTTTATCTGGTGCAGAGTGTGCCACTTGGACTTGATATTTAGAAGCTATCTTTTTTAAGTTGTGTGTAATCTGATGAATGCATGGCAGCACTGCCCGTTGGTTCTTCTCTCGTGTGCGTACTCCTTGTCCACTGTTGGTGAGTAATGATTCGGCGACTTCAAACAAAATCAAACTCGGGAACCCAGATGTCTTGAGGCGCTGCACTTGAGCGTGAAAACTCTCAGCCGCGGAACGTGTCCACGACTTTTTTAAGGCTGCATTCATTGTGCTTTTGACAATTCGTTTCTTGATGATTTTTGAGTAAGCTGAGGCGTACAGAAGCAGGCCTTTTTTAGTTCTTGGCGAGTATTTTCAGCAAGTGTTCCTGCCTTTGAACATCAGATGAAGATCTAAAAATTGAAGGCTTAAATTCGTTGAAGTCTCATGGGTGCAATTTAGCCCTTGTCCTTCGCTCAAGAAAGTGGATTTGATGGTGTGGATTATTTAAGCTTCATTTTCCATGGGTCTCTTTGAAAGAACTAGATAATTATCCACATATCTAAAAATGCGTGAAACTTGCTCTTTGGTGAGTGCATTATCGATGGCCCGATCACATTTTGAAAGGAAGATGTCGCAGAGGACTGGTGCCACAGAGGACCCGATACATATGCCTTTCCTTGGTGGGTAAGACGTACCTTTGTACGTTACCACGGTGGCGGATAGGTAGAACCGTAAAAGGTCTAGGAAAAATTCCACCTCTATTTCACTTTCATTTTGAAACTTCGTGATCCCATTGGCCTCAATACATTCGTTGACAGCTGTAAACAGCTTGTTGTGCGGGATTGAGTACAAAAGATCCTCCACATCAAGTGAAAGCCCGTATCGTACCGTTGCATCATTCAGTTGTAGGTGATGTATAACCACTTCAGAGTTAGGGATCAGGATTGGATCATTTAGTTTGAGGTTAGACAGATGTTTCATTAAATAGCGTGACAACACCCCTTGCCACGATCCTTTTTCAGTCACTACCACTCGGAACGGACACTCTTCTTTGTGTGTTTTGGCAGTGAAAAACATGTCTAAGTGGACCTTTATGGCAGTCGAAATCATCTTCTTCATTGATGTCAATTCAAGCTTAGTGCATAATTGGAGCGCCATGGCTTTCATCTTTTTGGTCTTGATGCTTGATTGGATGAAATTTTTGTCTATGGCCGCAATAGCCTTTTTTGGTAAATTGATCTGGGGACGACAACAAATCCCCTTTTTTTTGTCTGACTCTAACAGGTTTAAATCTTTCTCAGTGAAGTAATTTACCACACGAGACATGTTCAACCTCCGTCCACAACCATTCCCAGATCTTAATAGTTACGCCCACGGAGTCTTCAATACAACGTGGTCTGACATCTTCATGTGCCTTATCCGCTAAGTCATATACGTTAGACAATAGCTGTATACCCTGTCTTTTTGGTGAAGTGCGGAATTTTGGTCCTTTTTCTAGAATTCTGCATATATCTGCTGGCAGGGAAGTGTCCCCCAAAATAGTGAGGTTATGTCCTTTGCTTCCTTGGTTTCGGCTCCGGAGACCTTTTATATAAGGAACATACGACCACCATAGGTATTCCGTTGCTCAAGATATCGATTCAAGCAGACAATTGTATTGTCAACCTTGTCACACCTCTGGAATCTCCACCGCCAGCTTGTACCCAAAGACACGTTCGGTAAAATCTCACTTGCCTCCACATTTCGGAGCGTACGATCCTGCATATCCTTCTGGCGTGATGTTGCGAAGGTCTGGCCGACACGAACACCGATTGAAGGTCTTGTGGAACCACTCCATATCTGATGGCGGCCAAATGGTACATGGCCTTGCAGGTTGAGAATGCGATCGCATTAAAATAAAAAGAAATATAGTCTCGTTGAAAAACACGCGGAAAAGGGCCCGTTGTAGTAGAAAGGACTGCAATAAGATGATCTGGCGGGATAGTTGGTCGTTCATAAATAAAATAGCGCAAAACAACAAGGAAGGAAGGACGAGGTAGGCAGGAAGGGCGCTAAACTGACAACTGACATTTAATACAGTCTATAAAGGAGGAGAAGAAAGAAGAACGAAGTTACTGATGTTGTTGCTTAAAATAAAGAAACGTACACCCTCAAAGTTGTTATACGTAAAAATTTAAAATAAAATGTATGAAAAAGGTGAGTTGCTGATGATATCGGTGAGTGAAGAAAACTGTAGAAATAAGAGAGAAAGAAAGAAGAAAGCAATAATTTTAAAACAAAATTAGAAAATCGCCATGGTACACGATCGGAAATCACAGATCATAAAAAAAGATGAAGTTTGAGACCAAAACGGAACCTGAGGTCGCAGGCTGAATACTTGTCGTCAAGTCACGATTGCCGCGCGCTGGGCCACGGACTTCTAGAAGGTTCTCGTTTATTCTTGCTGCGGACATGACTTCTATCGTTTATCCCTGTTTTTGTTGTTCTAGAAAGTGCGTGTTCATTTTCGCCCCGAGCGCGCTACGCTCGAACCTTCTCCGCCGAATCTTCGAGATAGTGACTCACTCTAGATAAGAGGCCGCCCGCCACCTTGCCGAGTCAGTTTCGCAACAGCTTTCGAGTCTGCTGTCACGCCGACCTCGACGCCCGCAACGCTCTGCTTTCTTTTGTTTCCTTCTTTATTTTTGAGTACAAGTTCGCCCGATTAAACGTTTAGTTTACTCAGTTATTCGCCACCTCGTCACTTGTTATTCGTGACAATATGATTAGGGTAGTAAAGTTCCTTCGGAGATAAGGCGATCAATAGGGCGCTGATGCACACTGCCCCATGAGGCACAATTGTTTGAGCTTCATACAACTCGCGTGTTTTTTTGGACCTAAAATGTCTTAGGATTTTGGTTTGGCTAAACACTGCTGAGCACATACAGTCCCTTGCATGTATTGCAAGATGGCCGGCTGGTGACGATCTCACGGCTAAGGCATGCTCTCGTAAGCGATCATTGATGCATCGGCCTGTTGTCTCACATATATTTTGCCGCAGGTGAAAGGTATTTCGTACACCACTCCTCGTTGGCAGTCGACGTATTGTTGCTTATGTCTTACTTTGCACTCAGCTTGCTGTGGTTGGAGATGGTTTTTTCTCGGACACAACCGCCTAAGTTTATCTGGTGCAGAGAGAGCCACTGGGACTTGATATTTAGAAGCTATCTTTTTTAAGTTGTGTGTAATCTGATGAATGCATGGCAGCACTGCTGGTCGTTGGTTCTTCTCTCGTGTGCGTTCTCGTTGTCCACTGTTGGTGAGTAATGATTCGGCGACTTCAAACAAAATCAATTTCGGGAACCCAGATGTCTTGAGGCGCTGCACTTG